CTAACTAAATTCTCCACAAAAATGTTTGTTTGTATTAAAATTTCTGTTTATACTAAGAAAATTCACCACCAAAATGTCTGTTTGTACTAATAAAATTGACCAAAACATTGTCTTTTTATGCTGACAAAATTCACTATAAAAAATTTTTGCTTGTACTAACAAAATTCACCACCTAAATGTCTGTTTATAATACAAATATTCATCACCAAAACGTCTTTTTGTACTCGCAAAATTCACCACCAAAATGTCTGTTTGTACTAACAAAATTCACCACAAAAATTTATGTTTTTACTAACAAAATTTATCATCAAAATATCTCTTTGTACTAACAAAATTCCACTCAAAAATGTTTGTTTATACTAAGAAAATTCACCACAATATTGTCTGTTAATACTAACAAAATTCACTCTAAAAATGTCTATTTGACTAACGAAATTCACCACCCAAATTACTCTTTGTAATAACAAAATGCATCACCAAAATGTCTGTTTGTACTAACAAAATTTAAAAAATCAACCTGATTTGTTTTCTACCTCTTCTCCCTTGATTGCCTCCCTCACGCACAGGGAGGGGGGGGAGATGCGGGCGCTCCTGTTTAAGAACCTATGTCTTAAAGTGAATTTTACAGTAGGTACTTTATGTTAGCCCTTTTATTGATCAAAGCCCACGTTTTGTGTAGTATACACCTGTGACCAAACTCTGCAAACAACTGTGGTGGCAGAGAGGCTATTGGAATGGGAGGTCACGTGTCCTACAGTAACGACTGGTTCTCAGCTGGCGTGGTCACGTGTCCTGTAATAATAACGGGTTCTCAGCCTGCGTGGTAACGTGTCCTGTTATAGCACGGGAGCTCAGCCCTCCAAAAGACAAAGCAGAAATAATCATAACTTTTCAATCAAGTTTTATCGAATGGGCAATAAATACACTTTAAAAGATTAGTTTCTTACACTCAGTCCTAATTTAAAAAAAAAAAAAAAAAAAAAAAAATTCTGGTAGCCGGTATAGTAATAACCGCTTGTATAATAAATGTGTCGAGCAGCAGATGTTAAAATATTGATTACTTTAAAATTGCCCTGTGTCGTAACATTACACAGCAAGTTGTAAGCAATAAAAAAAAAGAAATGTGTTACCTTTCAAAAAAAATCAAAAACAAATTATGTAAAAATGTGCTGTCAAACATGCCACTGAAAATATAGTTAACATAAAGCTTTTGTTGGAGTTTTACTGTTATTTTATCTTATGGAGTGAGCAGACGGACAACGGTGACTAGCCCTAGTACCGCTAGACGAACGCGCCCTGCAAATGATTTGTTACACAATCTGTCACCAGCAAGATTGCATTACAGCTAACTGTGCACTCAATCATCATGGGACACTACACGGAGCGATGGTGGTAAGCAGGGCCATGGGTTGTAAGCCACTTTAGCTCATTGATCGGAAGAGAGAGAACACATTGCTTGGATATAATTTTGATGTTAACAGGCCTAATATTAAAGGTATGTGCGCTATTAAGCAGACTAATTTTTAAAAAAACAACTCAAAAAAATATACGAACAATATTTAATATCAATGTGTTCTTTGGAGGTGTAAATGGGAAAGACTGGCTGCCAACATTTCAGAGTACATGCTGCGTTTAAATGGTGTAAATGAAATAGTTAGATCATGGAGCATTGTATTCGTAACACTCCATAACGAAAAAAGGGAATCAAAAGGACATGTCGGCTTAAGGCCTCGGACTTAAAATAAGAGCTTAAAATTCCATGATCTTATGATTTTTTTGTTAACAGTCAAATAAGATCCTCATAATATCTAAGATAGCTGCTTGGAAACGGTAGATGAGATGCCCGCAAAACTTCAAGTTCGTTTTGTTTCCTAGAGTTAGGTTACACATTTAATCCTTTTTTTTTTTTTGGGTTGCTTTTACCACTCCTTTTTATGACCACCTGTAATTTTTTTTTATATAACTCAAAGTAATTAAATATTATGGACAATTAGCCAAGAGACGTATCATCTTTTCTAGAAACGTGTTATATCTTTGTTACAGTTCGGGATGCTGGATCCAATATCCATTAGATGTGCAAAAAGAGGGGGGGGGGGGAAAGCAACTTGCATAATTAAAATAAATCAATATTTATTTTAAAACCTGGGTGTCAATTAGATTTTAAATCATTTGTTTAAGCCACTTCTCAGACAACCCTGTTAGTTACAGTTCGGGATGCTGGATCCAATATCCATTAGATGTGCAAAAAGAGGGGGGGGGGGGAAAGCAACTTGCATAATTAAAATAAATCAATATTTATTTTAAAACCTGGGTGTCAATTCGATTTTGAATCATTTGTTTAAGCCACTTCGCAGACCAACCTGTTGATATCTCTTCTCACATATGACAGACCAACCTGTGATATCTCTTCTCACATATGACAGACCAACCTGTGATATCCCTTCTCACATATGGCGGTCGATGAAGCCTTCAGGACAGCTGGGCAGAGAGTAGGGCTGGAGATATGGAGAATCGAGGTATTTAAAAACTGAGATCAAAGATATGGAAACTTGCTATTCTTTAAAAATTTATAGTTACACGAAAAGCAAATAAAATATTGTTAAGCCAGGATATTGGAATCAGAGATGTATAGAATGTAACAGAGATGTACATAATTTAACAGAGATTGACAGAATGTAGCAGAGGTTTATAAAATGTAACAGAGATGTATAGAGTGTAACAGAGATGTATAGAATGTAACAGACATGTATAGGATGTAACAGACATGTATAGGATGTAACAGAGATGTATAGAATGTAACAGATATGTGTAGAATGTAACAGACATGTATAGGATGTAACAGGGATGTATAGGATGTAACAGAGATGTATAGGATGTAACAGGGATGTATAGAATGTAACAGAGATGTACAAAGTGTGACAGAGCTTCTGGGCAATAACAAATTGACTCCGAGTATTGGACTTTTCCATTCATGTCAGAGGGAACACGACAGTAGGTTAGTAACACTATCGCATTGTGTGGTCACGTGCTCAACTGAGATATCTGGAGCGTGAGATTGAATCTAGGTCAATTTAGGTCGGATATTCCTGATACAAAATATAACGATATTGACATTCCATCTTTGGCATATCTGATGTGACATTATTGCTAAAAGATTCCTGCAATGACATTCCAGCTATGACTTTCTGATGTGGAATTCCTGGTACAACTTTCCTGATATGACATCCCTGCTATCATATTTTTTCCATGAAATTCCTGCAATGATATTCAAGTTTTGATTCCTGATATGGAATTCTTGATATATTACTGATATGATTTCTTGCAATTACATTCCTTCCATAACATTCCTGCAATGACATTCCAGCCATGACATTCCTTCAATGAAATCCACCTATGACAATCCTAATGGGACATTTATGCTATGACATGCCTGATATGACATTCATGATATTACATTCCATCTTAGTATTCCTGTTTTATTCCTTAGTATTCCATCTTTGGCATTCCTTATATTCCATTAATGATCTGATATTCCCTCTAAGAAATTCATTTTTTGTTCATTTCTGCTATGACATGATACCTTCGATATCCTTATTACGCAATTTTAGCGGCTTTGGCGTTTAATGATTTAAGATAATGTTTCCTGGTGAAGTAATGTAACTGGAGATAATTGTGTTAAACGACCGTGCCATTAACATCTTCTCTGTACAACTCTATTGAAATATGGTTCAGGCACTTGCTGTTTCTCAAAACCGCATTACGGTGAAGAGGTAGCCACAATATGACCAATTTTTTTTACCACACTTTATCTGATAGAAACTGCAAGTCGTGCCACAAGACAAGAAGACGTTCGGGGAATTTTTCTCGGGAGATTCCTACATAGTTCTGAGTGTAAGTAACGCTGGGATGTCTACCTGTCAGGGATCTCTTCATTTGGGGTATATCTACCCTACCCATAAGTCTACCTGAGAATATAATTTTGTATCGGTAATGGTATGCCTACAATGTCATTTAAATATATCTATAACAGAAATACATGTGTGAAGATGTGCTTAATTTCTCAACGATACTCCAAGTGTACATTTCCTGGTGAAAGTAGTAGATTTAGACACAGTCTGTTTAGTTTAAAAGACACGTAGCACTTCCGAAAAGATGGGTCGCGAACAGGTACCAGGCCACGGAAGCAAAAAAAAAAACAACAAAAAAACTGAGTCGCGAAAAGATCTGGAAAACCTGATAGGTGTTTCCTTGAAGCATTTGCTGGGTTTTTTTTCGCTAAACTTGGGGCTAAAAGAATGGTAACTAGCGTTGAATCTGGAATAGCGAAACGACTTTTTGTTGGTTTGTTTGTTTTTTGTTGTTGTTTTTTTGGGGGTGGGGGGTGGGGGGAGGAGATATAAGAGGCGGTGTAATTTATCAATTAGAATATGTTCATATGCAAATTAGGCAGGTGAATACGGGAGAAATCAGATGAAGATAATAATAACTTGAATCGGAGAATAAAGTCACCAATGTTCTTCTCCAAACCTGAAGTTTCTGGTTAACCGGCAGCAATGCACTTTTCAATAATAAATCATTTACCAGATTTCTGTTTGATTTTGTTAGTTTTTTTTTTTTTTTTGTAGATTTAATTTCTTTTAGTTAATTTTACAAAAGCTTTATTGATATTCAAAAATGCTTTGTTTTATCACCAATGTTCTTCTCCAAACCTGAAGTTTCTGGTTAACCGGCAGCAATGCACTTTTCAATAATAAATCATTTACCAGATTTCTGTTTGATTTTGTTAGTTTTTTTTTTTTTTTTGTAGATTCAATGTCTTTTAGTGAATTATACAAAAGCTTTATGGATATTCAAAACTGCTTTGTATTATCAACAGGCCAGCGGGTCACACAAAAAAACGCATAAAGTTAAGTGAACCAAGAAAACCAAACATCTTTTCAACGTTGTTAAAAAAGCATATAAGTAATTCTGAGATTTCTTTTTTGTTTTTTTATGTTTAGACAAAACAATTAAAGAACTCTCCCAAATTCGAATGGGATCTCCATTTCTGGCTTGGACGAAATACATCACAAGATGAGAAAGGTGTGGCAGCCTACAAGACGGTCGAGCTTGATGATAGCCTTGGGGGAGCTCCGGTGCAGCACAGAGAGGTTTGAGTCCATTTTAGACTCGGGATTTTATTCTAGTCTTTGTGATGAAGAGAATTCATAGGTAAATATAGCATTTGTCAAGAAAAGAAAAGGGCTTGTCGATCTAGTTTTGGGATCCCACACGAACAATGGACCTTATGTATGTTGTTACGTACTGTTATCAACATGGATAAATTAATCACTTATTTAAGTATATGGCTCGTTCTAAAAAAGTGCACAACAAAAGACGATACCATAGGATAAATACAATAACAAAGAATAGAATACTCAAACCCGGGCTAGTTACAGTTAATAAGTTTTATTAATTTAATAATAACAATTACAAAATAAAAAAAGAAATATAATTAAAGCTATTGACTTACAGTATAATGTTTGGTTTGCACTGGTACAATGTCGAAGAAGATACAAAGTTGTAAAATGTACAATGATGAAAATAAATCTGAGCACACAGTAAAAAAAGCTCTCTGTCAAAAATAGAACGTGTTCCAAAAGAACTCTCTTCTGTCGTCTCCGAATCTGACGTTCAATCCCTTGGCTTCATATAGCCTGTTTCTTTAGACGATTCTAGAAGGCTACGCATTGTACTCGCCTCCCGCTGCTTCTACAATATTCTACTAAATCGAATCATGAAACAGACCATAGATTTATTAATTGTACCCGAGGTTAAAGGAAGACTATAATAGTAAGTCACGCCCTACTACTCGGGCAACCGAACTTGGGGGTCAGTTTAAGTTCATTCACAAGAAAAGATGAATGAAAATAAATGGGGCGCCATAACAATGTATCCTTGAGTTTATTTAGATCCATTTGCAGATATTTCAAGATAAGTAATGCTGTTATTAATGATTAACTTTGAATTATAAAATATTCTTGACTTCCTGCTGTGACATTAAGTAGTGCCCCCATTATCTTAAAGAAACCAGAGAATTGAGGAAGACAGTCATGTTAGTCCCTATCTGTTATGACTTGACATCGATTATACTTCTTGAGATTGGCAGGTCTACTCTAAACTAGTGTGGAAATAGTCATTGCAACTCTTAGTCATCATTTTTTGTTGTTGTGGGGGGGGGGGTGTTATATATTTATATCTATAAAACTAGCTCCATTGAAGTTGTAAATATTATTTTTTTAAATAATCGTTGTTAGTCATTATGGGTTGTTGTTGATGTTGTTTTTGGTCTGTTACCTTTTTTGAAGAATAGGTTTAATTAAGGAAACATCGTAATTTATCATTAAATTAAACCGTATGCAAATCAAAATGCCTTAGAGTATTGTCTCAAAACTGTATACCGATGTCTTACTTATATACTTAATCGATTTAATCCTCTTAAAATTAGCTACTCATCAAACAACATTTAGCTCTTTATTGACCACAAGGAAATAGAAAATTAAAATTTTGTTGCTAACTTTCGCCTGAAGGTACAAGACCACGAATCGAAGCTATTCTTGTCCTACTTCAAACATGGAGTTAAGTAAGTCTATTCAACGTCATTAAATTATGCATAGAAAAAATTGTCCCCTTATAGAAAAAGACATACTAAATTTAAATAAATATAAAAAGTAAAGTGATACGTTTTGATGAAATTGGTGGTCACGTTTCAATTTTAAACATGGTTTCTCGACAGACACTTCATAACGAGAATTTAATCGAAAGACATATTATTATTATTATTATCAGGTGGTTTTGTATAGCGCAGAACCCCAGCCTAGGGCTAGGCTCACTGCAGAACCCCAGCCTAGGGCTAGGCTCACTGCAGAACCCAAGCCTAGGGCTAGGATCACTGCAGAACCCCAACCTAGGGCTAGGCTCACTGCAGTACCCCAACCTAGGGCTAGGCTCACTGCAGTATCCCAAACCTAGAGCTAGGATCACTGCAGTACCCCAACCTAGGGATAGGCTCACTGCAGTACCCAAACCTAGGGCTACGATCACTGCAGTATCCCAGCCTAGAGCTAGGCTCACTGCAGTACCCCAGCCTAGAGCTAGGCTCACTGCAGTACCCCAGCCTAGAGCTAGGCTCACTGCAGTATCCCAGCATAGAGCTAAGCTCACTGCAGTACCCCAGCCTAGAGCTAGGCTCACTGCAGTACCCCGGCCTAGAGCTAGGCTCACTGCAGTATCCCAGCCTAGAGCTAGGCTCACTGCAGTACCCCAGCCTAGAGCTAGGCTCACAGCAGTATCCGAGCCTAGAGCTAGGCTCACTGCAGTATCCCAGCCTAGAGCTAGGCTCACTGCAGTATCCCAGCCTAGAGCTAGGCTCACTGCAGTACCCCAGCCTAGGGCTTGGCTCACTGCAGTACCCAAACCTAGGTCTAGGCTCACTGCGCTTCACACATAAAAATTAGCAAA